TGTCTTTCATAATGAACTATGCCTCAAAAGAGAAAGCATCCCCTATCAAATGAACTTATCTTCATCGAGGCTTATCACACAAATTGAAGTGAAGCATGACTTCACTTTAAAAAAGTTTTAAAACATACATTAACCACTAATATGGTGACAGTTAAGCTCTTTTTGTTTCTAATCTTCATATGCATCAAATTATTCAAATTAATGGGAAAAGTCCAATGAAACCACAGTTCGGTCTCTAAGCTGAGGCTTCAGATTCAGCAGGGCTGCTCAGCCACAGCTGCTGACAGAGGAGAATCTGCTCTGGTCATTTCCCAACTACTGGAATCTGAGGGAACCAAACTTATTTAGCAATCAATAAACCATTATTTGGTTTCCTTTGCACTACATTCATCCACTAAACACCTCAACATGTTTAAGGATGCAGGAGGCTGGAGGTGTCTCAGTAGAGATTGTGTGAGAAGTATGATATACCACCACCCAGGACAGTATATCACCAGTATACAGTGAAATGCAAAAGCAAAATATCAGGGAAACACTGTTAGAATTTGACCAACACTGGATTAAAGAAAATCCTGGAAATATATCAGCCGACAGCCTTTCTCCACATAGTACAAACAAAAACTTTGAAAAGAATCCCCAAAATATGGTTATTAAAATCTGTCTCTGGCAGAAAAAAAACTATATGAAGACCGAAATCGCTTCTGACATACCTTAGCATTTACATTCCGCAGTTCTGTGTTACTTATCCATCTTCATAAGAATATACTAATACTGACAGACTGAAATATGCTAATCTGGGTCAGTATATTAGCCTGAATAACTCATCAGTCCAACCTGATTTGCTAATACTCATTGTGGTTTTTGTCAGCTTCACTGCCTTGTATTCATCATTACATTGTTCTTGTGGTTTTTGTCAGCTTCACTGCCTTCTTTTTTTGGATTCTGTCTACTAATCACAGCGCATAATGGGTTTGAACTGGCTTAACACATCAGTTGTGAAATGATCTCTGACACTGTTCATTTTCAAAAAAAAATGCTTAAATAGAAATAAAATGTTTAACAAAAATCAAAGTTATTTTCAGGCTTATACAGTATGGCCCCCAAATTTGAGGTCAAAGAACTAGGGAACAAAAACTTATTTCTGCTTTGGATCCAACCTGGACAACTGTAATTAGGAGCATGGGCTGCACCAGTATACGCCTCGGGTCCAAACTGAGCTCTACCTAATTAGCCTCTCACTTCTCAAAAAATAAAAGCACAAGTTTGCGTAAGGCTTTCATCACCTTGCAACGTGAAAGCCCGTAGCCTAATTAGTAGCCTACATCTTTGCACGAGGCAAAATACGTTAGTTTACACTGAAAATATTGAGGGCGCGTGGCAAAGTCTAGTCTTCTAACGTAACTCGGTTGCCTATAGCACCCATTGGTATGCTTTAGAAATAAAATAATAAAACAGACGAAGCATAGACTGCAGAAATATGCATTTTCTGAAAGGACACACCTGTTCTCCTTGTCCAAACTGAAAACCCAATGGCACCAAGTGTTTGAGGATAATAAAACCGTCTGAGTACTCGTCACAAACACTTCTTTGAGTTTCCTCTCAAATATTAGCACATGCGTCCGATAAAAAATAAAGTAGTCATCAATTTCTCTATTACCTTATTGTTTATATTTCGTGGCTCACAACATCACCATGTTGCTCGGAAACTGCTCGGACTGTGCGCGTGTCACAACAGCGCGTGAATACGCGCGAGACCGAGAAGAGTAGTGATGCTGATGGACAGAGGACAACCCGGAAGAAAATGGAAGCACCTGCAGCAGCGCACTTCATTGGCACTAAGGTGTGAAAGTCCACTGTACCATCACCTTCTACTCAGTTTGTCATCACTCTTTCTGCTTCTGCGAAGGCTATTCTATTTATGCAATATTTATTTATTACCCAGTTTATTGATGAAATATAAATAAAATAAACCTCAACATGGTAAATAAATAAAGAGTCAGTGTGTGAAAAGTGATGTGTGAATAAACATTGGGAGGATATCAACATGGTAATCACCCATGGGTCAGGAGAAAAAGCCATGAGGACACAATTAAGTTAAATAAAGACAATTGTTTACAGCAGTTTTCATAAAACATTCTGCTTGTCTTTCATCTTGAGCAGCAGAAAAGGCGTATAGGCTCCAAATGTCCTTAGTTTCACCTCATCTTAATTAGTTTGTGATAACTTAATTTAGCACAAAAATTTGGAATATGAACCTTATAAACTGAAATAATAAATGCCTTCATTTTTTACTCACATATCTACAACACATGGTAGATATACAGTAATACAGTGATTACTGTATGCCCAAGGCTGAGCTCTACATATACAGTATGTGACAGAAGAATTAGGAACACAACTATAAAATATTATTTTGATCTAGGCCTTTAAAATACTATCAATCCAAGAATAAATGTGAAGATGACAAGAAAGCAAAACATGTGTGAAAACCACTTTACAAAAAGTGTAAGCATTTTAAAAAGCTAAGGCTTGAATTCTTAATTCTTCCTAGTTTCAGTGGAGTTTTTTGGCTATTTGTGCAAACACGAAAGCATATCTGGAATGAGGACACTTTAATTTTAACATCTCATCAGAGACAGTTTCACACCCAGGATGGAGAGTGAATACGAAAGCAGTGGTTCCTGGATCACATGCATGGACGAGATGTGCTGCTATTGCAGGGTCAGTATGAGGTGCTTAAATGTGTCTCTTCTGATGACCTCACCTTACAAACCCCAGTGTTTCATTTGAAACAAGTGTGTATTTTGGGACACCAGTATGTTTTGTACTGTCAACTATGTATTATATGTGGGTGGCTGTGGCTCATGAGGTAGGGCAGCCGTCTCCTGACCAGCAAGTTGGTGGTTTGACTCCCGGTCTCCCCGTGCGCCTAAGTGTCCCTGAGCAAGACACTGAACCCCGAATTGCTCCTGGTGGCTTGACTAGCGCCCGGTGTGTGAATGTTGTGTGTGAATAGTGTATGATCTCCTGTAAACACTTTGACCAGTGCAACACACTGTGAGAAAGCGCTATATAAAATACAGTCTATTTACAGTACATGAAGAAGAGGTACCTCTCTGAAAACATTTATAGTTGAACGAGGGTGCTTTTGTGCTTGATTGAAAAAATGATTCACATGCGGCAGTTTTAGAAAACAAGAACTGATCTTGTTCCTCATACCACCAGCTGTTCATCCTTTTTACATTTGGCATGTGTCACTGTGGTGGCCTCCCTTGAGAGGAACAGTTTATGTACACACAATATGAATACTTAAAAGAGAAAGAAAAAAGCAGCCAATGAGTTTTTAAAGTTGTTCATGTTTCACATGATCACTGTTCTGAAAGAAAAAGTAACAGATGAAACACTATGTAGAATCTGCACTTGAGAATATTTCTTTGATTAGAGTTACTATTCCTCTAAAACTGGTTTCACTGTCCAGGAAAAAATCTTCCTTTTGATGAATTGATAATGAAATCTGACACTTCATTTTGCAGGGTGCCAGAATAATGTGATTTAAATCTACTACATATCATCTTTAGGATGACTTATCACTTTGAGATAAATTGAATGTATAATGCGGTCTGTTCCTTTAGGCTTGAGTCCTAGTCCCCTTGTTACACAAACAAAACAACATCTGCTTCACAGAGATGCATGATGGGAGTTGTTGATAGAGTTTATAAACATCTAGTTTTATCTAACAACAAGCACATTTTTTGTCACTATTATGAAATTTTTCTTTTTTCTGTCATGTGCAGATGTGGCTGTTACAAACTTTCTCCACATTTTTGACCTCACTTCATTTTGCCGTATAGAAAAAAGACTTGTGTGTAGACTCTAACAAACATTTCTATAAGCCACTTGTGTTTGAGATGTATAAAATGAAAAAACAAACACACTGAGACAAAAATAACATTGTAACTATCATACAACAAAATACAAAAGTGCTCCATATTCACACAGTCCCTATTGAGCTTTAACATAACTCATAAAATCTGTGCTATTTGTGCACCATCCCTATGACTTATTTATACCAATGATAGCCACTGGGACAAAGTTATTTCTATACCAGTTTATCGTACACTTTGAGGCTACAAAACGTCATCCAGAGGGGAGAAGCTGAAACTCGCCATACAAGGAGTGTGCATCATCACTCAAAACTGAGCCAGATAAATGCTGTAGCTGTCTAGTCTACAGGGTTGCTAGGGCAGAGTGTGACTTCCCAATCAACTTACTAGCCCACCTGACAACATGATACAGAGAATTCCTTCTTTTCAGAGGTAAGAAACCAAGCCATGACTCCAAAGTTAAAAAAACAGATTCTGTAAACATTCCACTGCCTGACCCTTAATGGAATGCGACATCATGTTTGTGGGCCTGTCTTCTGACATCATACGTCTTCATATTTCTACAACAAATGCATTTGGAAAGGTACATACTTTAGCTTTAAAATAGCTCTATTACCAGGACTTCTATAATGGTCCCAGTAGGACTATAGCTTGTTGTGATCTGCATTAACAAAAAAGTAAGACAATAAAATTCACAAATGTACAGTATTCAACCAGAACATCCGACCTTAGTTCCCTTTTTTATCATATAAGAAAAAAAAATCCACACATCACATATTAATTTCAAGAAACAAATAGGAGAGAGTAATATCTTTCTGACTGATGTTGAATTACAGAAACAACTTCCAACAAATAACGTATCTGTTAATGTGCTGACACTTTCACATCTTCAAATGTGGGTTTAGTGAAATGCATCTGACCGATGGAATCCAAAAAAGGAAGTGTGTTTATAAGTCTGACTTCCCCCATCATTCTGCCTTCAAGAGGATGTCATACGTATTAAGAAAACAGAGCAAGAGGAAGAGAGAGAGAGAGAGAGAGGGAGAGAGAGAGGGAGAGAGAGAGGGGGGGTCATGATTGTAGGTGCTTTCTTTACGTCAGAAAGTCTTTTTCCTCTCATGTGAAAGATGCAGGTTATTAGTAGTGGGCGATCACTTTGGATATACACTCTGTTTGTTACTTCTGTACAACTTTGGGGTAAGTATCACACTATAGATATTCCTAAATACAATCTTCACATTGTTTTTTCTTTAGTTCTGTCTATCAACTTAAATATATACAAAATATTGCAATAGAAATATGTATTTACTGATTTTCTGGGGTTAAAGAAGAAGCAATTACAATTATGTAATCATTAATACAAACAGTCCTGTCTATTGAAAATGGTCTTAATATTTGGATAACAAGCTGGCTCTTTACATCAAATGTCATGTTCTATTTTAATTTCCTCATCAGCTGCAATCACCAGTTTGGTACAAAGTGAGCGTCACCACATGTAGCAATTTTTACATACCTGCTTCACAACTGCCCTGTTGCTCCTTCTCAGAAGGAACTTGTGAAACCCAGCTGATTCTGGCTGTATGTTATACCTTTCTCTGTCTTGTCTAGGAAGATTTTCTGGTTCATATTCCTCTTATATTCATCCGGCACCAAGCCTGGAAATCTATAAGAAGTCAAGAGACTCTGTGGTCCTGATCTGCCAGGCCCCAAAGGGCTATCATGGTGTTCTGTTCAAGTTATACAGGAACAGAGAGCAGGTAACTTTTTTTTTTGAGAATGTGTGTATGTTTTGTTGAGTTTTTAATACCTCTTGCGCTTATATTTTTCCCTAACTATTTTTATTCATTGAGGTGGACTCTCAGGAGCTGCAGTCGGCTGCTGAGCAGGTCCAGTTCACTGTCGAGGTGAATTCAGGCCCAGATGAAATGTTCTGCTGTTTATACAAAGACCGGGAAGGCTGCTACAGCGCTTTCAGTCCCTATTTGCAAGTGAAGCAGCAAAGCGGTTTGTGTGTTTTTTTTCCCAAAAATACAAACCTTGATAGAAATTCTCCCTGTGACCTATTTGACAGTCTTGGCGAACTGGACAAAATACTCTCTCTCACTATTAGTCTTCTATGGCTTGTAATGTCACCTTTATGCACACCTCAACACTGTGCTGAAAATACAGACCTATTGCACAAATCATTATCAAAATAAACTGGAAGAAGCAAGACACTGCTCTTGTATAAAGGACAGTGTGGGCTTTACATTGTATTTCAGTTTGTCTGTTCAATATGCACTCAGTAATGATTCCGCATGTGGTATAAAATAATAAACACACCCATCCGTTCCTCTGTTACCCCCCAAACACACTGCTGCTTGCAGGTGCTGTCTGTGGTCTCTTATTGTCCTCGGCTCTGTGGGTGTGTGTAGTGGTAGTTACATCCTGCACCTCATATAGAAACCACACACCCACACACCCACACATTCTCTCCCACACGCAAAACATCAATCACAGTATGTGTTATCCTGCAGTGTTGACGGTTACAGAGATGAGTTTGGTTTGTAACGTCAGCCAATCAAGGTCGTCAGCATTAAAGGAGCTTTTACTTGAGTTATATGTCAGTCAATGGTCTGTAAAATCAGCAAAGCCGTGAAAAATATTGAGACATTGTTTCCTTCTTTTGTTTTATCCTTGTCTGTATTTTTCCAGATGCTGCCCCTACTCGCTCCATACCCTCTTTCTCTCTTCCCGTCCTGTCAGTGGAGCCCTCTACTGGTGCGGTTAAACGTGGAGATATGCTGTCCTTCAGCTGCTCAGTCTCTGCACTCCCACAGCAGCTTCAGTCTCACTTCGGCAATAACAAGGGAACACTGACCTTCCTTTTGCTGAGGACTACTGAGCGAACAGGGGCCACATCTGTTATCCGCCAGCTCCCGGGCAGTCTGGTATCCAGCCCTGAACCCCAGCCAGGAGTCTTCACTGTGGGGCCGGTGAGAGGAGGAGAGGAGGGCGAATACACCTGCCTCTACCAGTTCACCACAGAAAGGCAATTGGTTAATTCAACTGTTAGCAACGTGGTTCAAGTTACCATCACAGGTGAGGATGTCCTGAAAGACTTTTTGATATCAGGACTGTAAGTCGCCACTCTCATCATGATCCTATATAGATTCTCTTTGTCAGCGATACTTCAAAATGATGTGACTTCGATTTGATCAGTATCAAGTGATATTATCTGCCTATTTCACACAATTATATTTTTATTAACTAAAACATAACAAATGTATAATTTTTAAATTTTATTGAGCTCCTCTGTTCATTTTCAAGTACTATTCAAATACCAATAAAGACCTTCCAACTCAACAGCTGTTCAGACGACAGTGATGCTGCATGGAGATCAGTCAGTGGAGACTGAACGGATCAAATGCTTCAATAGCTTATGTGCTGCTCATGTCTCACTTTTAGTATCAGAATACTAGCTGCACTGCCTGGCGCTTGTAGTCCAGATTGAAAAGTACAGTGCTTCACCAGAAATGTGTATGTATGTGACTGGCTGTCAAAATAAAAGCACACAAAACATTGATGTTTACGTTCTGCATTGATGTCATCAGATCTCGGGGGGTTTGATTGATCCAGATTGATGGATCCCCTAATAGCATACCTGTTGAAGTCTGCCTCATCACCTCACTGACCTCCTTTAAGTCTCTACCAAAACTTCCATGTTTTTAAAAACTTGGTGCATTAACTTGTTTTTGAGCTTCAGGTTAATTTTGACAGGTTAATTACTCAATAAGAAACTTTATCTTATCCTTATTTTATTGTTCAGACATGTTTTCTGTGAGCAATTTTGTAAGCCATTGCTTTGTTATATAAAGAAATGTTTTTATTTATATGCGGGAAAATGTACAAGCTAATATGAATAATTACTGGGTGCATGGATACAGAACAGAACCTGATGCTTACAGAAATTAGGAAAATGTAACTAGAGCCACAGTTAACAACATTATCAATTAATCTGCTGATCATTTCCTTAAAGCTACAGTATATAAATCAGATTCCACTGATTTCAGATTTAGCTCTTCACTGATGGTTTCAGCTGTAGTTGTTTCAGCAGCTCATTAATCCTACAACTTTCTAGAACTATATGTTTTTAAACAGTGATTTATTCATGGCAGAGCTTCTCTTTGATGTACCTGCTTAATATTTACCCTGATTTTGGTGTCTTGCCAGACATGCTGCCGCTGCCCACCCTTGTCCTCCAGGAGCAAACTGATGTGTGGCACTTGCTCTGCACAGGGTCTCCTGCATACCCTGGTGCCGTGTTCTCCCTCTACCTAGAGGATAACGAAGTTCCTGTTGCCACTTACCATGCCAAAATGTTCCACCATCAGGCCACTTTCCCAGTGCCTGTCCAGGACACTCCAGTGGCTTCATACAAGTGCCAGTACAGTGTCCTGCTGGGAGAAAGGTGGAGCCATTCGGAGCCCAGCCGCCCTCTGGCTGTAACCAGAGGTACGAAGTTAGACCTGTACTGGATGTGCTGTGGTCTGAGTGCAATTTTACACAAACACGTGACGGCTTCTTTTTAATTTTTCAGGAATGACCCCTCCTTCATCATCAGGTAGATTTTCACTAACATACTATGTCATTTTATTATTTGTAAAATGAGTGCTGGGAACAAAAGACAAAAAAATAAGTCAGACCTTTTACTGAATTAAAATGTATCACAGCTGTCTGAAGGAAAAGGAAACTCATTACTGAACAATCTGAGTACATACAGTTACCCTTACTTTAAAGGTCCTCAGTAGGAATAATCTTATATCTGACAATCCTTTCTGTATCGCATGCTTACAGATGTGTCAGGCGTGGACTGGCCTCTTGTCATGGGCTCGTTCTCTGCTGTGGTATTGTTCCTCTGTATAATAGCACTCATTGCTGTGGTGGCACAAAGAAAAGGTATTTCTCACATAAAACCTGGCTTTTTCTGATACAGTTCTGCTGTCTTGATTGTCTTCCTTTGTGAAACTTATTTGGCTTGACTCTTCTCTTTTCACTTTTATTTAAAGTAAAAGCAGCAGCCAGAGAAAAGAAGAAAAGGTACTGTTTTATAAGTACTCATTCATTTTAAAACTAACATAATTTAGACCATTAGATGAGCGCTGTATTTCTCTATACATATTTTTTTCTCTCAAGGTTATCATAAATAAGTACTGTACAGTACCGTGTATTAGCAGCACTAGCACATCTATGATACCTAAGAACCCTTTACAAGCAGTGGCAGCTAGAAATATTTCCATAAAGCAAGCATTTAATGTAAACATACTACTTATAGTTGCTAAGAATTTGCTTATATATTATATATAGGTTCAAAATGTATAATGGCCCGTAGAGAGGACTATTTACTTTTTTATGATATGAAAACTCATTTAACATTTTAAACCTGACTTTGTTGATTTGTCAAGTAGATTTTCATGAAGCATGGTTCCTGAAATGTATTCCTGCACTGCAGCTTTGATATTCTGATGTTAAATTAGCCTATGTTGAACTGTTTCAGGCAGGAAGCCCAGCTCTGGACTAGAGTTCATGCTAAGGACCATGTGGTTGGTGAGTGTTTTTCTTCAGAAGCATTCTTCCCCCTATGACCTTCCAGAGTATTTTAATAGTTCTGCAAAATATTGCATAGATATTCCAAGTAACGAGCTAAACATACAGATATTGTATCTGTTTAGATACAGATACTGATTGTTACTGCTTGTTTTTGCAGATCTCACACTCAGGCGTTTAAGCGTCACCTTTCAGGTAAATAGTCAAAACCTGGACTTTCAGTTGCTAATAATTCTTGGATGTTTATCAACTATGGTCAAACTTGCACTAGCTTCCTTTGACTTTTTTACTTCACATTTAAAGTTTGTTAAACAGTACTTTGAGATAAACACCTTAAACTTTACAGCAGCAAACTTCTTGGGCTGATCATGAGCTTCTCTCTAGTCCATCTCACTTGTTTGGTATCTGTGGTATTTCTGTGGCCTCTGTGTTTCTCCATCATGACAAACAACTATAAACTTCCCTTTGCTGTAAACACAACCCCACACACACGCTGTGTTTTCATTCCTTGTGGGGACTTTACACTGACTACATTCACTTCCTGTAGACGTATCCTAACCTTAACCATAACCATGACTTGCCTAACCCTAACCCTCACCCTAATACCTAAACCATGTTGTCACCCTAAAATTCAGTGGGGACCAGCCTCTGGTCCCCACAAGGATGGCCATGTCCCCACAATGTTAGCGTGTTAAGAGGTTTAGGTCCCCATAATACAATATATTATAATATAACAATATAATACAAAGGCACACACACGCCAGTCACCAAACACTCCATATCCCAAACACACTGTCAACTCAAACCCACATACAGTACAGTATATTCCTCATTAGTGCTGATGTGCAGTCTGGGCCCGCCTCTCATTAGTGGTAATCACTTTCATAAATTAGCTTGATGAAGGGCTCTCATTAGACTAAAGGCTCTCTGCTGCAGGCATCTTAGAGGACAGAACGCTGTCATCACTGACTGATGCAAAGACTAGCAGCCACAACAGGAACTGAATTTCTAATATCGGATGTGTCGTACTCCTAGCAGTAATGTTGACAGTCCTCGTCATACTTCTACTTAAAAAGCTGCAATTTTATCAAGAATTGCAGCAGTTTTAGGTGTAAGGTTTTTGCATCATTTTATTGCACATTTTAGTGCACATAGAGCCCTGTGATAGACTGGCGACCTATTCAGGGTGTACTCTGCCTCTCACCCAATGTCAGCTGGGATTGGCTCCAGTCACACCCCCCCACAACCCTCTTCAGGAGAAGCAGTATAGATAATAGATGGATAGATGGAAATACTTTGGTGATTAACCTCCATCAGTATGAAGCTTCATCAATCAATGTGAAGCGTCAGCCCATATGAGGTTAGGGGATGTGACAGGAGATTGTGCAGTAGCAGGTCTGACGGACAGAATGATTTAGATTAGTACATTAGATTAATGATTAGATTAGTACATACAGGAACAGCAAAGATTCATAGAAAGAAAAATAATGGCAGAAAGTTTGAGAAAAGATCTTTCTTACTGAAATTTTCCCTAAAGTTTCATTTAATAGTTATCAATGTAAATACTAAAGCAGATTTTCTTTTATGAAACAATCATGAGTAAGACTGTGTGGAAGGAAGAATGAAGATCACACCCGCACTCTGGGAGTGTCAGATGATGACGGCGACAACGACGACAATGATGATGATGATGATGATAAAAAACGTGATATTATTAAATACTCAAGATATTTGTTGTGCTGTATTTAGGACCCTGACAGTGGCAGGATATGAGCTACTCTATGCCAAAATAAATTATGTCAAGGCTAATCTTTGATAGATTATTGTTGTGTGTTTGTGTTTGTGCAGGATTGGGCTAGTGGGGACACTGCGACAACCTCCAGAACTCCAATATGGAACTCTCACTCCACGTTCACGACCCCAGTCCATCCTGCATATTAGAAATGTTTGATCTCTCTCTCTCTGTGTGTGTGTGTGTTTATACTTTAGCATAGTTTATCAATGCAGTCTCAGCTGAAGTCACTCAGCAGGAGAGGAAGGGCTATTTCCTAACTTCTCTGTGTAGCAGTAAAATTGTGCAATTTGACAGGATACGTGGTTTGTTTAATCTTACATGTTACTGAACCAGTGGGTTTAAATACAGATTTATTTTCATTATTATTATCTTTGTATGTGGGAGATGTGTTTTGTGAATATCTTGCATGAAGTTTTATGGCTTATTTCCAGCCTTTAAGTTATGCGAGAGGCTCTTCATTGAGGGAGAGAGAGCGCCCAGATGTCATGGAAGTTCATTCCAGGTCCTACATGGACTTTGACACCTGATTGTTTTGTCAAATAATCCATCACTCTAATGGTTTAGGTCTAGCTAATGTTACATATAATTTAATTGTGCTATCAGCAGATTTGCAGGATATTCCAGCAGTGTGCTTCCTCACTGTGTAAAAGAAAATGTCAACGGTTTTTACTGTACATAGAGGTTTTCTTTTTTTACAATTACATAGAAAAAATAATTGAACATTTTATTTATATTGTCTAACACACAGATAACAAAATCCTTTACAGGATTATGTCAACAATACCAGTATACCAACCTACATGCACAGATAAAAACTACTTACCCTAATTAAATAAAAAAGTTGTAAAAAAAAAATCTTTTGGTAAAAACTACATCTTCAGAAATGATTTAAAGGACCAGTTGATTTTACAAATAAGGCCAGAGGTGCTGCAAAATCTCTATCCTCTTTAGTCCAGCATCTTGAGCTGGGTAAAACCGGTCCCTAGTTTGAAGACCTCAGACTGTGGGCAACTTGATAAGGACAGAGTAATTCAGGAAAATAATCTACGGCCAGGACAAAATGATGTCTCACAAATTTGTCTATACAGGCACATACATACAGCATGAAACACTTTCTGAAATTGGTCTGCTGTAGTTTTGCCAAATATTCTGCAGAGGGCACTGTTTATATATAATTCGGACGTCCAAACACACCTGTGGTACAGAATGATTTTCATTTATGAAGTTGATCCTTTGTAATCAAATTCTGCGATCAGTGGAACAATGTGACGCTGATATTCATGAACCCAAGAAAACCTGATACATCCACACTAAACAACGGCCACTGAAAAGTACCGCTTCACTGTGCGGTGATAGGGCCAGCATTGACCTTGAGAACAATATGTTTCAGCCCTCATATCCAGATTTGTTCATTTCTACAGTATATTGTACATATGCATGCTGAAAAGGGCTCAAGAGGGAGATACACCTCCCACCTGTTAATGTGGTTTTTATGGTGGACAATAACTCAGCAGAGAAGTGTTGTCGTTGTACTTCAGGAAGTAGCAGAATGCCAACTCTGCTGTAGTACAGAGGTTTATTACATTTTACTGGCCTCCACAGCAGCACAGAGCGTTCTATCAGTGGCATACATGCACATAGGGAATGTCTTTATCTCTTATTTTATTTATGAAGACAGGAAAAAAAAACAGATGAGATTTAAGAATAAGACTTAGATTAACTTAAAGGTCAAGGTCAAAGTGTTTATTTGTCATATGCACAGTTAGGAAACATGTTTCTCTGTACAATGAAATTCTTACTTTGCCGTCCACATGAATACCACATAATACTCAACTCAACTTTATATATATAGCGCTTTACCACAGCACAGCTGACCAAAGCACTTAACGTATCATGCAAATATAAAAACAACACATAAAAACTATAAACAATAAAACAAACACTAACACTACAGACAGAGTCTCATTCCTGGCCAAATGCCAATGAATACAAGTGGGTCTTCAAATAAGACTTAAAAATGGACAGTGAGGGGGCCTGCCTAATATAAAGCGGCAAGGCATTCCACAGTTTTGGACCAACCACAGCAAAGGCTCTATCTCCCCTAGTTTTCCGTCTGGCCCTCGGTGCCTCCAGAAGAAGCTGATTTGCTGATCTGAGGCACCGCGACGGATTATACGGACACAAAAGTTCCACAAGATAAGATGGTGCCAGCCCATTTAAGGATTTATAAACAAATAAAAGAATCTTAAAACTAACCCTGAAACGCACCGAAAGCCAGTGGAGAGATGCCAGTACTGGCGTTATGTGGTCCTTCTTACGCCCCCCAACCAATAACCGAGCGGCAGCATTCTGGATCCTCTGGAGGCGGGCAATCCCGGATTGACCAAGTCC